GGGGGAAATGCAGCCTCCTTGCTGGGGTGGCCAAGGGGGTCCTCAAGACTGTACCTCTTTCTCTATCAGAGGCAAGGGGAGCGGAAGCGGAGGAGGACTCAGCAGCAAGAGCTGCTCCCAGCAGAGATCCTGATCAAGCACCCCCTGCAGAACAGGTATGGGGGGCTGGCAGCCCCTCCCAGCACTGGGATAGGGGTGTTGAGGCTGGAGTGGGGTTCCAGCATGGCTGACCACCCCATCTCCCCTCTCTCCCTCCCCAGATGGGCACTGTGGTTTTTTAAAAATGACAAGAGCAAGATGTGGCAGGCAAACCTGCGCCTTGTCACCAAGTTCAGCACTGTGGAGGACTTCTGGGCGTAAGTGTCCCTACCCCCTCTCTGGATGTGTCCTGGTGGGGAGGTCTGAGCCAGAGGAGGGTGCTGAGGGTCCCTCAGGCACCTCTTCTCACCTGCTTTTGTGTCTCCACCTGGCATAGGCTGTACAGTCATATTCAGCTTGCCAGCAAGCTTTCATCTGGCTGCGACTACTCCCTCTTCAAGGTATGATACCCCATCCTCAGAGTCTCAGCAGCACCCAGAATTATGGGGGCACAATGGGTGTTGCTTAGGCTGGCAGGGTGCCCTGTCTGTAGGGTGAGAGGGGAAGTCTGGCTGGATGCTCACTTCTGGCCAAGTGCTTGGTGCCCCTGAACATCCCCTTGCCTGTCCCTAGGATGGCATCGAGCCCATGTGGGAGGACAGCCAGAACAAGCGTGGTGGGCGCTGGCTCATCACCCTGGGCAAGCAGCAGCGGCACACTGAGCTGGACCATTTCTGGCTGGAGACGGTGAGTGTAGCCCCATGCAGGCTGGCCTGGGGGTCCTGCCTGCAGTGCTCCCCCTGCCCCAGGGCTGAGCCCCGGTGGGGACAGTCCCAGGATTCTCTTCTACTCCTGGCAGCTGATGTGCCTCATTGGGGAGATGTTTGGCGAGTACAGCAATGAGGTGTGTGGGGCTGTCATCAACATCCGTGCCAAGGGGGACAAGATTGCCATCTGGACCCGGGAAGCAGATAACAAGGAAGGGGTCACCTACATTGGGTAATGCATCTTCAGGGGAGTCTGTACTGAGCCAGGTTTGGGGGAATGGGGTCTCTGGTTAGGGAGCCAGTGGGAGCAGTGGTTCTACCTTCTTCACACAGTTTCTTCTCTCCTCCAGGCGTGTCTACAAGGAGCACCTGGGCCTGTCACAAAAGGTGGCCATTGGTTACCAGGCCCATGCAGACACAGCCAACAAGAGTGGTTCTCTTGGCAAGACCAAGTTTGTGGTGTGACTGTGGGAGGACCAGGGCACTGCCTGTGGGGTCCCCCTCTATTGTCTCGCAATGAATGGTTGCATCTGTACGTGGTCTGTGTCTTCAGGGCTCTGACAACCTGGGGTGGCTCTTGACTGGGGGGAGTCTCCTGGGAGGAGGATGATGTGTTGCCATATCCTGGCCTCCCACTTCTGAGTGAGCAGGGCTGGGAGAACAGAGCTAGCATCACTGTAGGCTTGGGGTACTGTGCAAGTTACCCTGCCTCACCTAGAGCCTGGACAACTCTCTCTCTCTCTCTCTCTCTCTCTCAATCTCTCGGACTGTTCCTTTGCTCTGGGGGAGCCTGGATAGTCCCCAGGAGGATGTTGGGTTCTGTCTTCCCCTGGCCAAGGTGCAGGCACAGCTTATCACCCTGCAGGCCTGAGTGAGCTCAGCCTAGGGAGCTGGTTCCCATTTCTCCCAAGTCCCTGCACATCAGTGGGATGTGGGTCTGCCTTCTCAGGAAGATCAGAGAGCTGCCAGCATCCATGCAGAGTAGGTGTTGGGACTGCAGCGCAGTGTTGTCCCCATGCTGCATCACCTCTCACAGACAACTGCAGCACAGGTGGTATAAAGTTTATTCACTTCCTAAGGGTTTATTGGTGTCAGACCTGCAGGTTCACAGACTCAGTCTGTTGAGCCCTGGGACTTTGCTGGCTCCTCCTTTCCATGGCTCATGTCCTCTGCTGTCCCTCCTGTCTGTCCTGGCCCTGGCTGCAGCAGGGCCCTCATGCTCCCTTCCAGATCCAGCCCAGCTCACTCTGTCCTTTAATCTCTTATTTGTCTGTTAGACTGTTTGATCTGTCCTCCTTCCCTGCCTAGTCAAGTTCTTGAGGTGGAGCTGCCTGCTCACCTCCTGACAGTGCTGCCTGCAGCTCTGCCCTCACTGCAGCTCTCCAGGAGTATCCTCCATCCCCTCCAGCAGCACCCAGGCTCCATCTCGGCCCAGGGTTATACCTTATCCAGGGCAGCCCATCCAGCCTATTGTGCCTCCCCGTGAGCCCAAAGCCACTCATCCTCTACTGTGCTGGCTCAGCACTGCCCTGCCTGCAGCCAGGCTCTGCAGAGAGCTGGTCCTGCAGAAGGACAAGGTATCGACCACATCTCTGCTCTTGGAGCTGTTTGAGACCTGTCTGGTCACAGCTTGGCAGACAGCTGGTGTGGCTGTGGCACCCAGGGCCTCTCAGCTGCCTGCAGTGCAGCCCCACAGGTTTGAGCTTGCTGAGCACTGCATTGTCCTGGGACACTGCTGTGTCCCTGGAACTCAGCTGTTCTTCTCCAGGGCCCCCAGCCTCGCAGCTGCCCTGGGGCAAGAGATGCCAGGGCTCTGCCTGCCCTCCACCACCCCACATTGCCCCTATGCCAGGCAGGAGATGCTGCTAGAGAAGGAAGACAGGCCATGTCCTTGTGTCCTTGCATCGCATGCTGGCCTTGAGTCACTTCTCTGTGCAGGTGCGATGGGGACAGGACTTTGCTGCCCTCCCCTATAGGGCAACCAGGCTGGGGGTGCTGCAGGCAGCAGAACCGGGATGAGGGAGAGCGGTATGGGGGGCAGCACCCCAAACCGGGGGTACCTGCAGGCAGGGGAAGGAGAGGCAGCTCTGCCTGCCCTGCCCGGGGGTTGCCGCACGGGCAGCGCG